ACAATTAAAAGGTGGTCAGCTGAATTCAAGCGTGACTGAGACATCATTGAAGACGAACCCCGCCCTGGTCGACCAAAAACTGTGTCAACACCTGAAATGGTACAAAAAGTCCATGATCTGATAATGAATGACCGGCGAGTTACTGAACGATTCATAGCTGGGGTAGTTGGTATTAGCCAGGAGAGAGTTCATTCTATTACCACTGAAATTGGTGCCAAAGCTTTTGACGCCTGATCAAAAGCGTTCAAGACACATCATGTCAGAAGAGAATCTAGCCTTATTTGAAACCGATCCTGGCCACTTCAATTGTTACTATGGATGAAACTTGGGACCATCACTTTCAGCCAGAAACAAAAGAGCAGTCAAAACAGTGGAAACACGTGACGTCACCGACCCCAAAGAAAGCAAAGACTGTTTCATTGGCAGGAAAGGTGATGGCCTCAGTATTCTGGGATTCTGAGGGTGTTCTCACGCTGGATTACCTCCAGAAGGGTCAAACAATTAACGGTAGATACCATGCAGCACTTATAAGGCAGTTGAGGCAAGAAATTACGACCAAAAGACGAGGAAAGCTGACCAAAGGTGTGATTTTCCACCAGGACAATGCGCCAGTGCACAAATCAGCTGTTGCAATCCATGACTGTGGTTTTCATCTTCTTCAGCATCCACCCTACTCTCCTGATTTAGCTCCCTCAGACTTCTATCTGTTTCCTGCTCTGAAGAAATGTCTTCCCGGTAGGCATTTCCCGTCTGACGATGACGTCATTGCCGCTGTGGAAGACTTCTACAGAACTGGAATAAAGGTTCTGCAACAACGATGACAGAGGTGTATTACATTGAAGGGGGACTATGTTGAAAAATATATGCATTTGATTTTGAATTTCTTGTTTCTTTCTGTGTTAGATTCAGTACTTATCAATCACCCCTTGTACAAACTAGAATACGCACTGGTCAGAAATCATTCCACGATCTGATAATGACTTCAAAGGAAATACGCACACAATTCGGGGCTATATAAAGAGACGCAGACACGAGACAGAGCGGGGAGGAGGAGAGACGCAGACTCTATAACTTTTATCAAATTAAACGACCATTTAGGTGCTTAGAACTTTATGACCTCAGCTGGTTTTTGATAATAAATGATATTGACCTTTCAACTATGTATAACTTCTCTTAAGACACGGACTGGCTATGATCTAATTAAACATGTAATTAATCCCATATGTCATTTACAAACTACATATGATCTGTGTACAGGCTCCACACGACTTCAAAGGAATACGCACTGGTCAGTAATCATTCCATGATCTGATAATGACTTCAAACGAGACGCAGATACAAGACAGAGCGGGGAGGAGAGAGGCGCAGAGACCGGCGTATGGACTCACCCGCGATCAACCGCTGCCTTGGCAGAGGGGCAGAATGGTGGATTTAATATAGTTATATGTGTTCCTGTCGTAGTCTAGTCCCCGGTGTAGTTTAGTTCATGTTGTATCTATGTAACTGTTTGATATCCTGTTTCGATGTAAATAAATCATATATTTACTAAACTAATCTCTGTTATCACTAAGATAGTGTTACAAGTGTTAGCCGATAAAGTTCATTGGGATTCCCCAGCGTGGTTTATCCTTGTCAGGGATGTCGGACGGATGACCTAACATAGAACAGCGTCCATGCGTTTGCATGGAAAGTAAAGCCGTCTATATAAGAATGTTGAGTGGTTATGGGTTATCTAAGAGCATACAAGTTCAACTTTGTGTTTCAGGGTCGACATAGACTGAGTATTGTAATTGCACCGGACAGTGGCTTCATGTATCTTGGTGCTTTCGGTAATCCATACTTTGTTATATGTGGCACTCTTCCTTCGTCCCCGTCAGATTCCATATTAGGATAGCACTTTCGCAAGTGACCAATCAAGCAAGAACCCTGCCCGGGATTTCGTTATCCGTAGACATACATCACAAAGGATTCCTTCAGACTTCTATGTAGATCCTTTGAAGGCAGCGTTCACTCCTACCAATCGCTAATAGAGATCTCAGTTCTGGGTTTTCAACGCGTCCTCCAGTTTCCTCCCACAGCTAAGGCCCCTATGCATGGCAATGATTTTTTTTTATTGATTTTATTTTGTTTCGGGGGGGGGGGGGGGGCAAAGACGTGTACAATATCATGGGAAGCACGATCCATAACAATTGTTCGTGATAACAAGTATTGTTCGGGTCGGCAATTATTCCTTTAGCAGCACATTGATAGAGACGCCGATATTTGAATCATACATGGTTACTGTTCCCTTATTGAAGAGAAATTAAGTAATTTATAATTTCAATCTCGGTATTTACGTTGGACGATGGATGGATATTATTACAGCTTAGGAATACAGCACGTTATAATTTATTCCAAACAAATATTTATCATTTTTATATCATACTCTAATATATCTTTCAAATCGTATATTATCTAAACAAATAATCTATATACATTTCAACAGTCAAAAATAAACATACCTACGAAAGACCATTAATGTCAATCAAATGAAAAAAAAATCTGAGTATCTTGAAATTACAAGATACGGAGAACCCCATGAGTAATTTATTTCAAGGTCGCCAACGCCGTACTTCATTTTATGTTACAGAATCGGCACATTCATGTCATGCTCCAAATGAGATGAAATGAAATGGGGTTTAACGTCCTACTGTTTTACTCCGATTGGGCTAATGAAGACGGGCATTGTGCTATGAGGGAAATTTTACTACGGCCTACGTTTTCATTTTATTGACCCTAATGGTCTTCCGTACATATCAGTGATAACAAACATAAATATATACATGTGATGAGAATGTAAACGTTATTGCTCTATACAAGTTATATTAATAACTGTAATATACATGTAATTGAATATCCAACACATGTTGTGTCGACAAATTAAACAACGGGAGCCACATGATACCAGGCCCGTAGCTAGCCCAAAATTGTTGGGGGTTTTCGCCGATGGGTCTTCTGGGGGCGCCTTCCTTTAGAGAAGGGTCTAGGGTGCTCTCCATAGGCGTACGGGCTAGCTTAAAGTTAGGGGGGGCAGAACCTGAAATGCCCCCCCCCACCCGAAAATTTGGAAAATTTGACGACCGCAAATGCGTGTTCTTGCTATTACAGTCCCTGAATATAGTAAGTGGTCTGATATAGCCTAACTGTGGCTGAGTCGAATTCCAATCAATCAATCAATCGTATATAGTCCACGGAGACGGGACCGTCGGGAGCAAATTTTGAAAATTTAACTGTCGCAAACGTGTTTTCATGCTATTCAAGCCCGTGAATACGGCAACTTAAATGTGGTCCAATATAATCTACCTTAGGTGACTTACCTGAATCCCATACAACCAATCGATCGAGGTGGGGTATGGGGGCCTCGGGCTCCCAGGAAAATTTGTGAAAATTTAACTGCCGCATATGCTATTCTAACCCATGAGTTAAGCAACTTCAAAGTTTCCAATCGTTTTGTAAACGAAATCCCACTCTATGCCGACCTGAATCCCAACAATCCAATCGGACTGTTGCAGCTTTCACCAATAATAATCGATGCCCCAAAAATGTGGCACAAAGTAGAGTGACTCCAGACAAAATGTTTTAATCCATAGTCAATTCAATACAAATTCGCGGTCTTCAATTAAAAGAAATGTAAAATTAGCGTTTTATTAGATTTCGGGCACTTGATTTTGTCAACTAGATGAAATAATATTTTTGTTTTCAGTTTAACCGTCTGCCCGAAAATGGTGCTCTCCCCCACGAAAATTTGGAAAATAGTGCTTGCACCTGAAAATGATGGAAAATTTTAATTTTGAGGCTGAATTTGCGATATTAGCGTATATGATATTTTGATATGAACATTATAAAAATTTGAAGGAAGGATTACGACTTTAACGTACCTATAATAATTTATGAGAGAAATGGAAAGTGCGGAATCGGGTTAGAGTGCGACTTCGCAGTTTTGGATGCCCAATTTATTCGTGGGCGCCTAATCAATCTCAATAGCCTTGTGGGCGCCCCGCCAATTATATTATGGGCGCCCATGATCTCGTCGTGGGCGGCCACCAATCTCGGCATTATGAGCGCCCCTCCGGGATGTGGTACCCCACAAATCATGCCGTTTTGATCGCACCATTGATTAAGTCGTGGGCGCCCAACCAATCTTAATCGGCATTATGCATTATGTGCGGCCCGACAATCATATATTGTCATTATATGGCTCCCCACCAATCATGTCATTATGGGCGTCTCTCCGGGATACAGCACCCCACAGACCCAGCCGTTTTGGGCGCCCCATCAGTTGTGGTTTTAATATCACCATTTGAGGGGCTCATCATATATAACTACATAATTGGCGAGGCGCCCATAAAACCAAGTGACATTGGTTGGGCGCCCACGACCAGATTGGGGGTGGGGGGCGCCCAACCAATGTCACTTGGATTTACGTGGCGCCCATACTGATATCGGAACATTGGTCGTTGGCCTCGTATTGCGTCCAATTTGAAGGGCGCCTTTGGCCAACATTGGGGCAGCCGATTTTTCCTCAATGGACAAAGGGCGCCGAATTTTCCAAGGGGGGTGGTCAGCTGCCGTGGTTACGATAATAAACAATCAACGAACACATCTTGTCAATACTACAAAACTACTCCGAATAAAGAAATTTTCAATATATTCATTTTGCATTATCTATTTTTGAACTATTATAACGAGAACGGTCAGCTCTTTACCTAAATGTTACATAATACCTCTTTAATGTAGCAATATATGGACGATTTTCAAATTTTCAGTTTTGTAACTTGCTTAACTTAAAATATAAAACACTGGTTGCACTTTACATTTATATTTATATTACATTTCATAACAAAATAAACTTTCTGAACTACAATATCTACTTATCGATATTATGTTAAATAATTAACTATATATACTCATATAATCAAGCGAAATGTTTAATGCAAATTAATTTCAACATCGGTTGTCACAGAAACTAGACCAAAAAGAGAATTATTATTCAAAATATTGTATTATTCCTAATATTGTTGGAGTGGTGTGCTAACAATGTTGCTTACTCTCGATTGTCAGCATCATCTTCATCACTACTATCTGGTGGTGTTGGTTGAGTTGGTCCACGTTTAGTATAACCAATACCACTGTATTCTACAACATCGTCCTTACCTCGTACAGTTGTAGTTGATTGGTGACCATCAAAATCTAGATCGGCATAAACAGTTTCGGTAGGACCAGGCTTTAATGAGAAGAATCCATACACAAACAATATAATCAAAATACACAGCATCATGAATTAACTCTTCTTACGTCATATTTGTTGATACGAAAACAGGATGAACACGCTTCTTGAAGTGTCCAGTTTATCCAAGTTGTTAGGTGTAAAGTGTTTTGGGTAACACCTTAGTACATGTTTAATTTACTAGTAACTCTATGTTCCAAGTTTCGTTACACTTAATCTACAATCTGTAGCAGTATCCGAATTCAGATCCGCTTTAAATTCAGCAAAAGTTAATTGCCACTTGGTCAGTAAGCCTAGCACATGGGGCTAATACGAAGATGAAAATTGTCAACATCCCGCCCTCTTCCTGATCTGAACATGGTTAGTTGGACTGGTGAAATTTTGGTAGTTGAAAAACATTAGAGACACAAAGTTTAAACGATTACAGTGAATTGGCACAGACGAAAACTGGAGAGTGAGAAAATATACCTGACATTTACATTCGCAACTTTTGGCAAGAAGTTTTTTTTTATACGATTGTGATTTCCCCGGTGTTAATAGACATGGGCAGTTGTACTATGATAAGCTTGCAATTTTGCAAATTATGTTATTTTAATTTCCAAAATTACTGTCATTATCATTATGTTTATAACAGATCCAATGGATCTTTGCTATCGATAGTCGGTGTGCTTTATAATTAAGAGTTAACTTAATGTAACATTAACGATCATACCACGACGTTCCCAGATTTTATTTTTGTGATAGAATATGCTAAAGCTCTCATTTATTAATATAAAATTTGGAATCTATGTGCAAATAAAGACGGACATGCGCCATGTGTGCTTGGCCAAAATCAAATTAGCAGAAAACAGTTGTGCGGTGATACTCCAGTTGACTGAGTTAAGCGATGGGCTTCAGAAGTCCTCAAACCAGCTGCATTGAGTCTGATATAGCTGTAACACCTTTACTAATGGCCAGCTCTCTGCTTTTTTATTAACTTTCGCAGCATTAAAAAATTCTTGTTAATTTTAGAATTTTGTTCTTCTATTCTATGTATATGCCGGAAATATTATGCTGCCCAAAATGAGGAAATAGGCTGTCAAAAGTCTCAAGTTCCTACACCGCCCCAGGTTAGTTCCTCAAATAAATAAAATGGCATAGGGTCAAAAATTCATCTTCATCGTATGATCATTTTCGGAGCCCAAAATGAATCTTACTGAGCCTTTTAAAACTGAATTTGTACATAAAGACATTTCTATCAGGGGCCACCTCTCAAAATATTCCTAATATCAACCCCAACGTATATAGGCAATTGAAAAATATATTGTATCTAGTCTCCGGATGATTAATTGGCTGGAAACTGGGACCAGGCCAGTCAATCAATCGTAGACTTGATTTCAGAAAATTGTACAAATGTTGCACCTTGCAAATACCTAGAAAATAAGTTTAGTAAATTATTTTATGTGGTTTGGTTGTTCTAGGTTACTGTTGGAACTGATGACATCTCTCCCACTGCTACATCATCTGCAGCTACTGGTAGTGCTGCTTGCATCCATCATCAATCTACTGCTACTACGTCATCTGCAACTATGGGTAACGGAACTGACCTGATCTAGGCCTATTATTGGTAGTTCTAAGTCATTACTGGCATTGGTGTCGCTACCAATAGCTGTTACAAAAGGGGAAAGTAGCATGGCAGTTCCATTATCCATAGCTGCAGATGACATAGTAGCAGTAGATGTAAGCAGCACTACCAGTAGCTGCAGATGATGTAGCAGCGGGAGGGATGTCATCAGTTCCAGCAGTAACCTGAAACAACCAAACCACATAATATAATTTACTAAAATTATTTTCTAAGTATTTGCAGGGGTCCATGTTACCAACCAATCCATTGTGAGAGGTGGCCCCTGATAGAAATGTCCTTCATATACAAATTAAGTTTTACAGGGCCTGGCAAGATCCATTTTGGGCTCTGAAAATGATACTATGATGAAGTTGAATTTTTAACCCTATGTTAAATCATTTATTTGAACTAACATAAGGCGGTGTAGGAACTTGGCTCTTTTGACAGTCCATTTCCTCATTATTGGCAGCATATTGTTTACATCCTTTTGGAATATTATATTTGAGACCCAAACGGTAGCGATGGGCAGCACACATCACCTTTCCATCTAGAATCGACGAATTAGATCAAAAATCCCTCTTCGTCTAGAAATCGGCCCCATTCGGTTCTCAATTCACTTATTGCTATGTAATGTGCTAAAGAATGTGCCTTGATGTCCTTATTACACTCTTTCAATCTATGAAGTCATTTTATTGCTCATATCCGGGATGTGTACCACATTCTATGGCCAATATTGAAGAAACAACACAATTTTCTGCAGTCTCGGGCCCGGTCATCGTGGACTGGATACCAATCCTCATCAAAGAGACTAGTTTTGCTCGAGCGGGTTTCAAGCTGCTACCAGCGAGCACGGGCGTATGATTTGGTGAAGAAATGGACAAGGATGGCTTACTTACAATGGCAGTATTTGGCCATTCCATAGAGAATGAGAAATTTACAATAGGGAAAATTCACCAACTTTGACTTAGTTTTTACATTGATTGAAGAGAGGTGACAGAGATTTTATTTTTTATATCGATAGAGGGTGTCGAGCTGTGCATAAAACCATTTCGATATTTTGACCTACCCCCGCATCATAGAAAATAGAGCTAATTTCGCAGGTGTATATTTTCTGTTTTACTCCCAGAGAATAAATGCGACTTTATGGTCTTCACACTGGGACACCCCCCACTAACCCCCACTAACATCACCAACCACCACCATTTCCATCCAAACCCTAGACTCGCTACCATAGGTGTCTGAAAATTGACCAAAAATGACCTGAAAAATGGCAACATTGGCCAAAAAATCACCCAGAGGCTGTTTCTCAATAACGGTGAAATTTTGAGATTTTCGGGAGATGGATAGAGAACAAGCTAAAAAGAAAGTGATTTTTCCTACAATCAAGGGCCATAAATCAGGAAATTACAATTCGATATCCGCAAATATCGAAAGGAACCGAGATCTTTGGGTTATAAACTTACATGTCAAGTTTCAACAAAATCGGATAAAAATTGTGACCTCTATAGGGTCCACAACCTTGATATACCATATTTTTACGCTATATGAGAACGAGGGGCGGCCATTTAGTCTGTCAGTTTTGGGCCGATTTTCACGAAATTCGAACTCAGCCGTCCTTAGCGTGTATTGATATAATAATACGTTTTTTTAAATCGGATAAACATTATGACCTCTATAGGGTCCACAAGCTAAAAACGCGATTTTTCGTACAATCAGGGGCCATAATTCAGGAAGTTACGGTCCGATATGCGCGAATATCGAAAGGAACCAAGATCTTTGGGTTATAAACTTACATTTCAAGTTTCAACAAAATCAGATAAAAATTATGACCTCTATAGTGTCCACAACCTTGATATACCATATTTTTACGCGACTTGAGTACGAGGGGCGGCCATTTTGTCTATCAGTTTTGGGCAGATTTTCACGAAATTCGAACTCAGCCGTCCTTAGGGTGTAACAGTGATATAATAATACGATTTTTTAAATCAGATAAAAATTATGACCTCTATAGGGACCACAAGCTAAAAACGCGATTTGTCGTACAATCAGGGGTCATAATTCAGGAAGTTACGGTCCGATATGCGCGAATATCGAAAGGAGCTGAGATCTTTGGGTTATAAACATACATTTCAAGTTTCAACAAAATCGGATAAAACAGACAAAATGGCAGCCCCTCGTTCTCAAATAGCGTAAAAATATGGTATATCAAGGTTGTGGACCCAATAGAGGTCACAATTTTTATCTTCACATCGACCCATTTTCCCCGGCAAAAATGACAGCCATCTTGGGAATATGCTTATTAATTTTGTGAACATGTGATCATTTTACAAGTTTGTAAATGTCAGAAATAGAATCTGCGACCCAGAAAACATATATACTGACACCAAACACTAATCTTAAACAAAATCTTCACATCGTCCCATTTTCCTACTAAAATGGCCGCCATCTTGAAAATATCTTCGTGAAGTGATGGGAAAAAAATTGAAATAATTATAGTCATGACCCCTGTGAATACTAATACAGTGCCAAATCACAGTTGATATGTCGATAACATTATAAATAGGGTGAAAATAAAAAGAATATTGTGGAATATTATCGAAAATGGCTACCCTCACATAATGGCCTCCCATACCACGAAGACCTACTCAAAAAAAAATGTCAACATTGGGGGTTTTTTGTCATTAAAAATCGAAACCTTAAAAATAAAGCTTATTCCACGATTGCTACCGACAAACCGGTCAAGAATTCGGTTCCATAATAAGATTCAACTGATCCCGATAGCTACTGTCAATATCGTTATGTATATAACATATAACAAGGTCACCGTTTCCTATCGGTAGTTGGTGTGCTTTAGAATTAGAGTTAAGTTAATTCAACATTTACGATCAACCACGGCCTTTTATTTTTGTGATAGAATAGGCTAAAGATATCAAATTTGGAATCTCTTTACCCTAGCCTATCACAAATATATTTCTGTTATGCACCAACTACCCTAATGAGCAATGCAGTGTGCAATGAGGAACACTGTGCATATACCGCGGCGTTTCCGCCTATTCGTCACCAACCTCTACCTGCCAATGGTTCTTTAAAGTGCATGTTAATACGGGGTCTCTGCTTTTCGTCTCATCCCAACAACTAGATGCTGTTCCTTGACAGCCTGTGCCCCCGTCCTGTAACACTGTCACGGAGAAGCCATGCTTGGAAATAAAAGAACCCGGGACCTTCTGGTCGTTGAGCATTACTCAGAGAGGTATCATTACAGATTCCAATCACATACCTTAATTGAATGGTTTTCATATTCATTTATATTAATTCCATTGATGTCACCAAATATACCCACATTTTCAAAAGCCTCTCCTGTAAAATATCAATTATTTTAAAATACTCTATACTACTTGCGTTTTCAAAAAGTAAAATGTTATTAAATATTACCCCATTTGAGTATAGATTTTTAGGATGTTTAATCAATAATTGAAACGTCTTTTACTGCAGCAAAAATAGCCGTTGGTGGCACAATTAACATGGGCCAATGGACACCACTTTGGGCTTTACGTTGTGTAAATAAACCCATCCACAATCTCACATTGGTAAAATGAAAGTGAAACTCTGGAAAACCGAATAGATCTAATCTATGTTTATATACATCATAACATCACTATACTACATAATTTCACAGGTATGATCGATAATATGGTTCACATTATTTATAGAAAATAATAAAATGTAATGTAAATTTCGAATATTGACTTCTCTGCGTTCCTATAACTAGATAAATTAGAAAATGCCCCCCCCCCCCACCCCAAATAAAAAAGGCATTTTTTTTTAGGGTTTCACACTGCGTAGCTTGTGTGAAACTCTATTGTTTTTGTTCGGATTATTATTCTTCTTATTATTCTTCTTATTATTATTTTTCCATTTGAGCATATCTCAGAAACTACTTCGGTTTTACAGGGAAAGTGGGTTTGACTTAAATTTTAAAGCTATTTCTAACGTTCTGCGACAATGCGAAATGTCCGAAATCACCGAAGTTGTCGTTTTTCGAAATTTTGCCGTAATGTTATCAATAATTGTCCGATTGTAATATTTGATACATTTTGACATAGCTGGAGACAAGGCACATAGCTACAATTCTTTAGATTTTTTATTTTCGAGAAATTTTCGGAGATATTAGGCGCCAAATTTTGAAAATTTAAATTTTTACGAAAAACTTTTTTATTAATGAATATTTTTATGTGGTATTTAATCTAGGGTTAAAGAGTCATCTGATTTGAACGAAAATGGCAACAATTTTTGTCACCGTATTTTTCCTTGGCCCCCATTGGCTAATTCAGTTTTTCAGTCCTGTATTAATTATTTATTGTTGGATTTGTATAAAACAAAGATCATATGTTCCGTGGTCCAAAATGTCATTTTTGTTTTGTTACCGGTACATTTTCCTTTCGGCAATGGAAGTGACGTAAATTTAGCAAAAACTGCAATTTTGACAGTTCGGTACCACTTTTTGAAAGCAAATATGACTGAAAGGGTGTGCCCTGTTAAGGCGCAGAAATCATCGCGCTCAGTTTTTTTAATTTTTATTTTCGTTTTCGGATCATTTCGATTTAAAAGTGAAAAAATGAGCTATTCACAACTTTCATAAACTAGTAGCAATAATCCATACGAAGAGAATGTATGTGAAAATTAGTTTGAAATATGAGCAATTGCCGAGAAATGGGCAATTTTGCATGAGCCACTTTTTACGCTAGTTTGCCTGTAAGAGAGTCAATTATTTTTCGATTTTCATAAAAGTGACACCATTTGATGTGTAATGTCAATTTTAACTAGGTCAAACAAATTTAATATTTTCAATGTCACCGGAAATGACGTAATTTGGGCATAAATTGTATTTATAGCCTTCAAAACCAGTAATTTATTCAAATGAGACGTATTTGTTATTTGTTTAAAATTTTGATATTTGATCCCAATAATAGAATGAACCCATACGATCATATAGATATCACAAAATGGTTTCTAACTTGTTCAGTTGCGGAGAAATAGATGATTTTGAATGGGTAACTTTTCAAGGTTTTTGGTCCATAAAAGTGTCAATTATTATTCGATTTTCATAAAATGTCCAGTGTGTGATACCTAATGCCATTTATGATTTCATAAAAGTAATTTAAAACTTTTACTGTCACCGGAAGTAACGTCATTTTGGCAAAAACGGTATTTTTAGCCTTCAAAACAGATATTTTATTTTCAAATGAGTCTGATTTGTATTGTTTTTAAAATTATGATATTTGATCCCAATCAACAAATCGATTGAACCCACACGATCATACAGATACCAAAAAAATGGTTTCTAACTTTTACGGTTGCAGAGAAATAGACGATTTTCTACAAGTCACTTTTCAAGGTTTTTGTTCTATAAAAGTGGAAATTATCATTCGATTTACTTACAATTTTCACCATGTGATGCCTTATGCCATTTCTGATTTCATAAAACTAATTGAACATTTTCATTATCACCGGAAGTACTGTACACTTACATGTAACAAATGTATAAAATGAATTGATATTGCTGGATTTGGTTGATTCTGCGTCCATTTTATTTGATGTGTGCAATGTTTATGTGGGAATCTGTTTAATGGTTTCATTGGTATCGGAAGTGACACATGTTTAAGGGTAATGTGGCACCGGTGAAACCCGTCATTACCGCATCGCAGTTCTAGTTTTTAATTCTTTTTTTTTTTGTGCAACGATAATCCATAATTCGCAACTATCTTAGTTGTTCTCGGGTAATAGCTTCCCGTAATGGGCAGATAAATAATTTCAAGTATGTTTATAGGAGTTTGGCTAGTTTTGTCGCCTGCCTGACCTCTCCTGTATAATCCAACATTAGCAACCACATAATATCCCATCTTCTTCTAGTTCGCATCTACCATGCTAGCAACGATATTCTATTTAAAATCAAGACATGTATTTTTCGTTAGATACTTTTGACTTCAGGGAACGAATGCACGTCGACGATTCGAAGTTCAGAAATTTATACCATAATAAATATATATATATATATATATCAATTATTACCTTTTGATTTGTCGTTTGTTGGCTGTTTGTTTTTAACATTCCGTACTTTAGGTTTGGTATTTGTTATTTTAGGTTTGACATCAGTTATTTTCGGTTTGGTATCCGTTTTGTTCGGTTTGCTATCATATGGTTTAGGTTTGACATCAGGTTTGGTAGACTCCGTTGTTTCATCTGAAATACAATGGCTATAGTTTTGGGATATGCACAGTATTTACGCCCGATTATTAAGGCCCGGGCCCAACGTCTAAAAATCGAAAAAATTAAAATAGTCACATAACCTATTAAATGCAGGTATTATGTCAATATAAATAGTGCCAGTTTCCGTCCGTGATCAAACGGTAGACTAGTATCATTACTGGAATTTCTTAGAAAGTAGCATCATGAGTTGTTAACCTTTTAAGCATAAGTAGGTGTCTAAAACAATGGTATGTTTTGCTAATGTTATGTGCAGTAATTAATTAACTGGCTAACAGTTACTCGCCTGTCCTGTGTTATTTTGTCGAGAACGTGGATGGTTACTTCAAAAATGCGATCAGACCTGGCCCCTTATAAATTCAGCACACCACTGTATGTACTATACGAAGGAGCATTGTCACTTAATGTTTTTGTCATGTCATCATGAATATATTTACTTTGGCCTAAACTTTTTCAAATAAAGGTACTATACATTTGGTATTCTCCATTTTGACAGCTATATACAGGTAAATATGGGAGCAGTGAAAATATATACCATATATAATCTGTCAAAATTGTGTTTGAGGGTATATTATATGATGCTGTGTGTACTGGGACTGTCAGTAATATTTACTGTATTTCTACATGGCAGTTGATTTTTACATACTTGATTTCATAAGATGTAAGTTTTACTGCCTGTACATATACCGTATTTTCACAGCTTTGTGTATTTATTTCTCCATAAAATTACAGATTTACTTCTAAAAAATGTTATGACATAGCTTCCGTCACCGATAATGTTAGTGAGGCGATTCCAATTTTCTGAAGCCATTTATGCGTTTATTCATACATATTTATGGTTTCTATCATCATTGACACTGTTAGTGTCCTATATCCATCAATTACAATTATTGCTGAATCTAAAAGCTCATCCTCTTACCGTTTTTAGTTTTATTAACAGTTGCATAAAGAGATTCTGGATTCGGTTTTATTTCTGTTGGTTTATTTTGTTTGTTTACTCGTGCATACGTTGCATTTTCATCTTTCTTAATTTCATCAGCACTGATATAGTTGACCACCTCATCTATTACTATGATTAAATAATAATAATAATAATAATAATTATTTATATTGTGCACATTCCGGTAGCATTGAGCCAAGATATCCGTGTGTTGTTCCGTTTTAAGATTTATGGGCCATACACAGGTGTTTGACATGAATTTTGTGAGTGATTGGTGGCCAGTACAGCTAGTTTAAGACAGGTGTAATATGACAGTTTCTATCTGATCTGCAGAAGATCCTTGTTGCAGTGTTTTGCACAATTTAAAGTAAGTTTGTTTATCGGGTTCTTCTACCTTGGTTACAGGGGCTCTAAAATCTCAAATCATTCTACTGGAAGTATATAACATGAACTATTGGGTAATGCACAGAATGTTCACCGATTGTTAGGTCCTTTATCCTGAAATAAGTCTTTAGGAGGTTGTTCAGGCATTAATATTTGGAACTGGCAGTACCAACTGCCAGCTGCACTAGTTGTTATTGATAGGGTATTAAAAGGTTTATGAACAAAAAAAAGAATATTTACTCATTCCACCTTGTTGTCTACTTGGAACATCTACCAGGGGCCTAAAATAAACATTTTAAATTATTAATTATATATCGAAATGAAATGAAATGGGGTTTAACGGCCTACTGTTCTGCTCCTGTTCAATCCCTACATTGGCCGGGAGAGTTCATCCAGATTTTCCGGCGTGGTTCCCTACCTTGTCAGTGATGCAGGACGGAGAGTCAGACAAGGGCAGCTGTCTAGTCGTTCGGATGGCACGAAAAACCGAGGTCCCGTGTACACATTGTCCGTCTTCATTAGCCCAGTTCGGAGCAGAACAGTAGGACGTTAAACCCCATTTCATTTCATTTCATTTATCTATCTTGTAGCATATCATGTAATGTTCAATCTAATAAAACGTGTTTACCAGTTTGCAACCAATATTAGGCTGGGGTCATGATATTATTACAAAACATAATTACTTGATTGGCTCCTGCATTTACACAAACTACAACTTACCCCATAAAATAATCCTTCTGGGTGCAAAAAGTAGAAATAAACAATATTTATCGGGCATATATATTCAAGCATGCAATACATAATAATCTATGTATATAGATACCCGCTTATTGATGTTAACTACCAAATTATCAAACTATTGACATAGCAGAAAAACACACTGTCATCGTTTTAGAATCTTATTTGGTTATCGTTGACGACGTGGAAGCATTATTAGGTGGCTTGGTCATGACACTACAGTGTCAGAATTCAGCAACTTCTGAAGATACACGAGCTGTCTCTCAACTACAAGAAACTATATAGGTTATGTGCAATGTGTTTAATATATGGTGTTAGGATAAACAAAACTACTACTTACACGATGTGTCTGTTTTCTGTATCGTCATCTGTAACATAATCATATATAGACAGTGTACTATATAGCTACATACTAATTTATAAATTGCAGTCTGGACATCAACAAACGTAATGTGTAAATGTTAGTAGTTTTTGTATTCCTCCAGATCAACACCTTTGTTAATTGTTTCTGTAATGTGTTTCAATATGTTAATCATTGATTACAATATATCAGGTCCTTTCTTTTATTTCCAATTTGGTTGGTATGATAGTTCTTCGTGGGGGAATCGTATAGCTTAACATTCCATTTGAATTACATCTTGTTCGTCTACAATTAAATGATTTGTAACTTAATCTCTAATGTGCGATACCAGATGATTTGCATTATCCACATTTGGGAATTCAAAACGTATATACTGGATTTCATGATAAACTTACTTTGTTTTCTGCGTCTTTTGATAAGGACAACCACAACTACAACAACCAGAATGGCTGCCACAAATCCTCCAATAATTCCACCTATTAATCCCCAGTTAGATGGTGGGTCTACTGAAACATAAGGATTTATGTTAATATAAGGATTTGTGTTAATATAAGGATTTATGTTAATAAAGGATTTTAATAGTAAATGGACATTGTACGAGACTATTTAATTTTGGATAAAATACCTAGGTATTGTGAGTATTTGAAAAACTGTCCATTTTCCAGTAAACATTAAATGACCTACTTACTTATAGTTTACCCTGCCCATCTTTAAATTTTATTTTGTATCATGTACACCTACCTGTCTTTAACGTACTCTACCTACCTATCTTCAAAGTTTGTATTGTATGTAGTCTACCTTCCTATCTTTAAAGTGTGTATTGTATGTAGTCTACATACCTATTTTTAAAGTTTGTATTGTATCTAGTCTACCTACCTATCTTTAAAGTTTGTTTTGTGTGTATCTAGTCTACCTACCTACCTACCTTTCTTTTGTATCTAGTCTACCTATCTTTAAAGTTTGTATTGTATCTAGTCTACCTACCTATCTTTAAAGTTTGTTTTGTATCTAGTCTACTTACCTATCTGTAACGTCTGTATTGTAGAAGAACCATCGGGTGATATCAGATAAACAGGTTGACTATCGCCATATTTATTTCTAGCAATAACTCTAATATAATATGATGTATCAGCTTGTAGATTCTTTATACAATAATCGGGTTTAGATTCTGGTAGAGGTGTAGACCTAGTCCAGGTTTTATTATTTACTGAATGTTGAACAATAAATTCCTGTTGATCTCCACCATTAAATCCTGGTGTCCATGTAATACAGATACTGTCGTCACTTGGTGGTGATGAGTTGATGTTAGACGGTATACCAGGTTTAGCTGAAAGTGATTTTCCAGCAAGTGATTAATGTCATATTATAATACATGCGTAATGTATGTGTTTATATATTTTGAAATTGTTCAGTTTGTGTTAAAAGCATGAAGCTTGGCAAGCATATACGGTTTATATGCTGATCATTTTACAATGTGCGATCACTTGGGTCATCAATGCCAAAAGAAACATTTGAGGTTTAAATTATCTGAACGTCATTATAGAATATAAACGTTTAATCTAATCCATAAAGAGTAATATATAATATGGTTCATTTTCGTTTAGCATTTACAAAGAAATCATGATTTGAAAATATGTCAACATTCGAAATTCGAAATCTACTGTGGACAGGCTAGGGCCACCTTTAATATCTCCAAAATAGAGGTGGGGGGGGGGGTGAATTACACAATCTGGATCCATTTTAGTCTGGATTATTACGTCGTGGACAATACACCAAGAACAATTTAGACGATGTAAACTTGTTAAACAGAGGTAGCAAAATCCCAAATATCAGTGGAAAGTGATAAAATTCATCCTGTTACATCAGGAGGCATATGCAATGACAATATGGAGATGTCCAACTTTATATCATCTATTAATAAATTCAGATAAGTAAAATTAGAAAATATCTTGATTCAAACTCGGCAAAACTTCTGGTAAACTATTTAGTAACATCAAGCATCGACTATTGCGATTTATTCTATGGACTTCCAGCATCCTCTCGTCGGATCCTTCCGAAGATACAAAACACTTTCTCTAGAATGAGGAACATTCTCATATCGAATTCCAACTGTAAATATTTATTTTACGTCTACGCCAACATCAGTTTTCGTGCGAATGATTATACGTTGTCGCTTGCCGCGCACGCACTCTATTGATTGCATTGTTGTCTGCAAGGAATTCCTCAATGATGTTCAATAGCTTAAACGTAAAAATTGAATTACATCCCAGGTTGATATATTCGGTTCAGGGATTCCTCAATGATGTTCCATATCTTAAGCGTAAAAATTGAATTACATCTCAGGTTGATATATTCGGTTCATATCAACCGCTGATGACGTTGATGATGGAAATAATACAAAGAACACAGAAATAAACTTTTATTCTTTTGACAAGTATTTACCGTTTGTAGCATTCAGCACCGAAGTAGACGGCGTACTTATCTGCATAATTAGATGGTTATCCATGGCAAAGATATCTTTCTTTTCGTCCACATTTGGATTATTTCTCGACACACTCTAAGACTTGAAAGTATTTATAGCCCAAGAGTTCCTATGTAAAGTATTTTTGGGTACAGTCCACTTAACAGTCTTTCAAATCCTTCTCAGAACATACCGAAAAAAGACTGCCTTTTGATCCAAATTTTCTTCAGCTTTTGACTAGCAGCAGACCCTCGTCGGAATTTGCATTCACATCTATTCCACCGTCAATCTTTTGGCTAAAAATAATTGATTATTCGTCCGAAAACGTATTACTATCTATTTTGTTTTTGCTTTCAATTCAATTGCACTTATATCCACTCCAAAATGGCGACGGTATAAACAATGGATTGACGTGATTAATTCGGTAATTTTCGTTATTAGGCGGAAACTATCGAGCAATTATCCAATCATTGTTGACTTTTAATTGAAGGGTCGATTTAATTTAAGGGTTGGTTAATATTTCTATACTGACCTTGAGCTTTAACTTGATACGCTAGTTGTTTATAACCAATATTATGATTATATAATACTTACACTGAGCTACAACTTGATACTCTAGTTCTGTATAACCAATATTATTAGATACATTGACTGTATATGATGTATAGAAGATGTTGGATGTAATGTTGATGTTTAATGTTGATCTATAAGTGTTGATAGAGATACTGGTATCAATCTGTTTAAATACATCATCATTATAGATAGGTTCAACATCTCCAGTAGTTATATTATTATAATACCAGGTGAAGGTTGGTGGTGGATAGGATATAACATCAGCTACCAGTTGTACCATATCTGTTATATAACCACTAACTATAGATGTTGCTTTAACTCTAGTATCTTGTCTAGGTGAACCTGTATATAACAATATTAAAGATATAACATCAGCTACCAGTTGACTGCCCGGACGACTTAGCTGTTGTGGGTGTATATGTTTTGTTGCCTGGCAACCTATCTTTAAAATCCACAACAGGCCAATGGATATTGTAATATTAATTTTGGGGGAACGGGGTATGCTGCATTGGCTGGAACGCGTTTTACATCCATCACAGAATAAACTAACCATATACGGATGTGAAAAAAATAGCATGTGCGATGATGTGAGAATGGTATTTTAGTTAGAATAGACATCTAAAAGGAAAGATTAAAATTATCTTAAAAAATTACCAAAAAGAAATTTATCCCAGTTCGCTAGATTTTTTGTATTTGTTACTTATAGTATTTCGCAATCTACACTGAAAAATATTTATCGTTTTTAATCAATAGTCCGGTGGCTGAAGAGGGGTGGGGGTGGAATTTATAAGTCCAAGTTTTTCACCAGTTTTTTGCGTAGATTCCGAATCTGGGTGGTGATCAGGTGTTGGGGGCGGGGGGGGGGGGGCGTTTTCGAGATATGGGGGTTCCAATGTCTACAATTGGGGGAAAATGTGATGATGTTGACATAAATGGTGATCATGTTATATATAAATAAAACATAAATTTCTAGGACTGTCCATTTTTAAATAAGTGTTTATGATGCCCCCGGACAACTGTTTTGATTTGTGGCGAAATGGGATTGCAGGTGTGCGTGTGTGTAAGGGGGGGGGGGGGTAAAATTGGCGGGAAATGAGTTCACGTTGATTCAAATGATGGTTTTCTTAGAACGTGATGAAATAACTCTATAAATATGTGTATACGACCATTGTGTGTGGGGGGGCTGC